CAGGGAGCCAGATCCTGAAATACAGGATCAATGTATTGTATTTCCTACGGATTTTGGTTTTAGCAATGCAGCTCGTGTACCTCCAATTGCCTCATACGTTAGAAGCTGCTTTTTTGGCAGACAAATCCTCGGTTGACAAACACTGTTCTGAAATGAGCAAGAGCAAAATAACTACAGCCTTGCCATTGAACTGCTCTGCACCTCTCCAGCACTGACAATTCAGGCACCACTTCACTCTGGCTAGAAACACTTCATATAAGTAAATACTAATACCAACTATCCCATAATGAGAGGCATGAGAAAGATTAGGACACAAGAGCAAAACACTTCAGCAACTTAGTATTTTTCTCTCAGAAAACGGACATACAAGCACAACTACTCTAGCACATGAGCATCACACATTATGTGGCTGAAGACTGAGCACAACTGAAAACATTACCCTACTGACTGTGAAAGGCTGCATGGAGGTCTCAAACTTCACTTCTAAAACTCTTCTCTCCTTCAGTCCACACTAGTAATCTATAAGCACCAGCTGAGCATAACTGTGACCAATATAAAGCAACAGCTACTGAATTCAAAGATTCACTCTTCTGGATTGTTCCTTGCAGGGAAAGTACAAATATTCCTTTTCTCTACAAACGTCCCTCACCTCAACAAACCCCTCATTAATCCCGAGTGGTTTCTGCCAGCTTTCGTTAATTTTTTTCATGGATCTCACACACTACATTTACAAAGCGCATGTATAAAACTTCAATCAACATAAGTCAGTCAAGTTCAACCATTTCCTCTATTTACCACCAACACAACAGTAGAAGCCAGGGAGTTCATCCATGCCAAACGCCAGACTGAGGGCAAAGGGAGAGAGGATCACAGGGCACACTCTGAAGCATACATAAGCATCTAGTAAGATGTTCAGAGTTCTCCTGAACTGTCAGTCCGACCCGGAATCCAAGGAAAATTTCTCTGAGCATCAAGTAATAAGAGAAAAAGGTTAAGAAACTCTTTTGGGTGCTCTTTCTTCTAGGTCAACTAAATGTACTGGTCAGTATTTGGGAAGAGCGATGAATATGCTCATTTTGGTTTCCATCTCCTGGCAGATCAGTAACAGTGTGGTGGTGGCAGGTGGGGGTTTTTCGGGTTTTTTTGTTGTTTTATTTTCTTAAATCCTGGGCCATTTCATTGTGCTAGTTTTCAGATGGACTTTGTGTCATCAGCTGTATGAGCGCAACTGAGAGGAGATACTGGAATAATCTCCCAGGGGGATTTATTCCCCTACTTTGGTCAGTTTTAAGAGTCATCTTGACAGAGTGCTGAGTCATCTCATTTAAACTTACTTTTACCTTGAGAGGTTGGACTAGATGAGCCTTGTGGTCCCTTCCAACCTGGTATGCTATGATTCTATGAGATGACCATCACAAGAGAGTTTATTAAACTAAACTTGCATTTGGAGGAATTAATGTGGAACTGCAGTCTGAAGAAACTCACTTTACC